GATCCCTTTCCACATGTGTTGAAGAACATCTCTTGTACTGAGGAAAGGTAAAGAGATACAGATGCTATAGACACTTGTGATTTGGGCAGGTGGTACCAGGATCCAGCATAAGCGCCATTCTTGGAGAAGTCATGCATGACCTGCTGTGTGACCTTGGGCAAGGCCCTCAGTTTTCCCACAAATCAAATTGGAGGTAGGAGGGGAGGCTGGTTGAAGATCAAATGTCCTTCTTCCTCTCTGGTTCTGAGATATGGGTCCAGCAGGACCTCAGGGCTATTTTCCCTTGTGGTCTGATGGGACGGAGCCCCTGCCCCCATGCAGCCATCATGCCTATATTCTGTTCCTAATTCCAGTTGTGGGCCAAGGTCCAAAAACACGAACCACCTTTAGACCACAAACGTCTCCAAATTACAGACATGCCCAAGCTCCAAAATTCAGTGTTTCCCACACACACATGCAGCAAAACCCTAGGGTCAGACACCATCCAGGCTGAGAGGTCATCAGGCCCAGCTCACCCGAGATGTACATAAGGCCTCTACAACATGCCAGGCTAGTGTTTGTCCAGCCCCTGCTTGAATGCCATATGTGACAAGGAGCTCATTACCACTTATAAACTCTAGCGCAGTATAGCCTAACCACTTACAACTCCTGTCCACCAAGATCTCCTGCGAATATTTCAAAGCCAGCATGCACCAGGATTGAACTCTTGATTTGTCCTTAACAGACCTGCTCCTCCTCCCATTCGTCCTATGTGTCCTGGCTCAAAAAACTAACACCACAAGCTAAAACCTTGGGACGTATTCTTGACTTCCCATTCCCCTCCAGTCAGTCAGTCTCCAAGTCCTGCCAGTCAACCTTCTCACTATTTCTGCAGTCAGTCCCGCCTCCTCATCCCCATTACCTCCTCATCACTTACCTATATGGTGGCATCAGCTTCTTACCTGGTCTCCCTGACTCCTCAGTAGTCCCATCAAAATTATCCTCCATGCTGCCTACCAGAGGGCTCTTTCTAAAACTTAAACACTCCTCTGCTTACAAATTAATGATGACCTGAGTTACCCACATAACCCAAATCCAAATTTCTTAGCACATTATTCAAGGCCTCGCTTGATCTGGCCGCAAACACACCTCAATCCCACTGTTGATTGACCTTACACTGCAGCCACACCAAATGACTGGCTGTTCCCTAAACATACTTTTGTTCTCCCATGCCTGTGTCTTTGTCCATACTGTGCCCTCTTGGTATTGAAGAAAAAAATGAAAAGAGGGTCCCTGCCCTAAAGGAACCCACATTCTAGAGCTGCACTATCCACTATCCTAACCACTCATCACACAGACCGATTGAGCCAATGAAATGTGTTCATCCAAACTGAGGTGTGCTGTGAGTGCCAAATATATGCCAAACCTCAAAGATTTAGTATAGGGCCAGCCGAGTGACACGTTGGTTAAGAGTTGGCTTGGGACGCCAGCTCTGAGCAACAGGGCACCGGTTTGGATCCCACATGAGAACCAGTGACGCTGAGCCCTCTACAGCTAAGATGCTGAACAACAGCTTGACCTGGAGCTGGGCTGCCGTGAGTCACTGGTGACAGCGTAGGCTGTAATGGGGCTTGCCGGCAGCTGGTGTGAGCTTTCGTGAGCTGCCATGAGCGACCATCCAATGGCAGGTGAGCGACTGCCTCATCCGGGAAGAGTGCAATGATAACACCAACATGGGCCAGTGAAGGAACGTCCTCCACAACTAGACTGAAGAACAAAACGACAGCAACTTGTCTGTTCCCCTTCCCCAATTCCCCAGCACTATTCCCATCCCCCAATAAAAAGCTTTAAAAAAAAAAAAGTAATTCCATCTGTTTCTCTTTTTAAAACGTGGCTACTAAAGAATTTAAAATTACAGGTGTATCTCCCCTTTGTGACTTGCATGATATGTCTATGGGACAGTGCTGTAAGGGGCAGAGCATGAAAATGAGTAATTATAATGATAATGTGGTGGGCGTGAGCAATGGCGGTGGGAAACACAGGGTGCTCAGGCACCACAGGCTATGGAGAGACGTCTATCTGATGGTGGACAGTTTAGGCTTATGCTTCAAACAGCATCTGGGTCCAGCTGGCAACAGTGACAAGTGCTGGTTGAAATAAGTGCAAAAAGGAAGGTAAGACACATTCAGATCCCAGCTCAGCTCTCACCCAGTCCCTTTCTCTGGGAAGCTCCCCTGTCCCTGCCCCCACCCGCATTAGGTCCTCCTGGGGCCTTCACAGCACTGAGCAGTCGACCTTGTCATTGCCTTTAATGCGTGTGACCATCTGCATATCCCTCCCCTATCTCTGGGCCCGAGGGCAGTGCCTGCTTCCTCACAGTGTTGTCCCAGGGCACACACACACAGTTGTGTCCCAAGGGGAACACTCTATGAATGTTTGTTGAAAGTTGAATGAATTCCTTCGTTCAACAAACATTCATTGACCCTCAGTGACCTTTCCAACTACATTCTTCCACAACCCCACACATCCTCAAAGTGCCTTCCACCAACCATATGTACTAGTGTAAGTACCTTAACAGTGAAACCGGAGGTTGGGTTTCACTGCATTGACCACAGGCGATGGTAACGTACTTATATAGGTTATCTTCTTCCATTTTCTTCATAATCCTATGAGACAGATTCCACATATCCTCATTTTTGTACAGATGAGGAACTTGAAGCTTGGAGAGGTGAAGTAACTTGCCCAATGCCCAAGGTCACACAGTAGGTCTGGATTCAGCTGACTTTCACAGATCTACCCTCCAACTCACCAGCCTTTGACTCATCCAGGGTATTCCTGGGACTCTCCCAGTTGACCACTGTCCGTTCTCTCCCCTTCACTTGCTTCCTTGTCTTCTCCTCCTATCATCTCCAGCCTGTGAGAGGGCTGAGTTTAATTCAGATCCCAGCAGCAGAAAAGGGCCCCTATCCCACACCCTGTACAGGGGAAGTGCCTCCCCCCATAGCTGCCTAGGGCTGAGCACCCCACCCCCAGCTGGGGAAGAGAGGAGGGAGAGAAAGAGAAACCCATCAGGGGCCTCTGGGGCACAGCCCTTGAGGAGCCCCGGTGTTTGGTTTCAATTAGGAGGACAAATTCCAGGAAGCCAGGCCAGTGCTGGGGGGGGGGGGGGGGGGGCAAAGCAGGGCTCAGAATGAGGAGGCTCCTGGAATCTGGCCTCAGCAAGAGGCTCCCGTAGGGCAGGGCATAGGACTGAGGGGCCTGTTGGGAAACAAGCCTGGCCTGTGGGGCGGTCTGAGTCCCAGTTCACGGTTCCCAACTTACAGTGTGCTGTCAGGGTAGTGGAGGACGTGCGTCAGGTGCCTGGCACACAGTAGGGTCTCATGGGCTCAGTAAATGGCAGCCCACATTGCTTCTGTTCAAGCCCACATCGTTCTATAAATTCTAGCTCTGGGGGTGGGAAGGGGGCCCTGGTGGTTGACACTGCAAGCTTCTGGGTATCAAGCTAAGGAATGGTTTCTGGGGCCCCAAGATGACCTAAGCTCAGAGTTTGTGTACAGCTTAGGAGGGACAGATACAAACAGAACTGCTATGTGGTGTGACCAACGTGAGAGCAGCACCAAGAGCCAGGCTCTGGGAAGCTCAGAGGAGAATGGAAGATCCAAGAAGGAAGGAACTTGTCTGTCCTGTTTATTCGTCTCTTCAGCCCCTAGTGCCTTGCCTGGCACATAGGCAACACTCTATAGATCTTTGTTGAATGAATGAGTGATGAGCTCTTCTGGGAAATTTGAGAGAAATCTTAGAAGAGGGTGCATCTACACACGGCTTTAAGAAATGAATCAAAGCTTGGAGACCTGGAAAAGAAGAAAGGGCATTTCAAAGCAAAGGGAACAGTTGATACTGGGATGAGGCAGCACGGAGCATGTGACAAGGTATTCATTGATTCACTCATTCAACTAATACTGATGGCATGCCAGAGACGTTTCAGGCACTGCGCTCAGCAGATGGATGTGGCTGGATTGGGAGGGGATGAGCTCGAGGATGAGGCAGAGGCCAAACCATGGGGGTGAGGATGGGGATGGGAATAAGGGTGGGCTTATGTGTCTTGCAAAGGAGTCAGGATTCTGCTCTGCAAGCTATGGAGTAGCCCTGATGGGTTTATATATTCTGGGAAGTAATCCTGGTAACAGGCTGGAGTGTGGGAATGGAGGGGTCCTGCCACACATCGAGAAACCTGAAGCTTGAGAGATGGCACGTGCTCAGGGACATCTAAGGAAGCAATGGCAGAACTAAGCCTCATGTGTCCCATCCACAGCCCAGGGGCCCCACCCTCAGCCCAAATCCTGGGTCCCCCACTCTAGTTGGCTACTCTCTTGCTGAATGTCCTTAGCTACATCTCCACCTCTCTCTGGACCAAAGGACTTTGACTGAGACAGAGTCCCCCACACATAGGCCCACCCAGTGGGATGGGGATAAGGTCAAGGAGTGCACAGACCTGGCCACACAGAATATGCAACCTCAAGTTTATGTCAGGAAAGTTATCCCTTTTCAGTTTTTGCTTCCGATTAAGTCAAGGAGAAGGAGAAAGGCCCAGCTTGGGGCTGATATGTCTTTAACATCTCTCTGCTCCTTGCTCATAGCCTTTTATAGCAAGAGCGAGGCCTCCTAGCAAGAAAGGCTAGATTTGCCTTGTTTTCATTAAATTTATTTTTATATTTACCTTCTGTTTTTAAAAAGCCAAAATATATGGAGTACAGATACAGTTTCCTTGTTAAATTTTTGTAAAAGTGAATTAATTTAAAGAAAAACACAAGCAGATGAGGTAAGACGATCTGGCAAAAATCATGGAGGAGATAGAAACGATGGGAGTTTAGGGAAATCCTAGGTAGGGCACCTCTGACTCTTCAGTTCCTTTTTTGTTTTGTTTTGTTTTAATTTTTATTCAGTAAGAATGTGTTTTTTTCCAGGACTCATCAGCTCCAAGTCAAGTCGTTGTCCTTCAACCTAGTTGTGGAGGGCTCAGCTCAGCTCCAAGTCCAGTCGCCATTTTCAGTCTACTTGCGGGGGGCACAGCCCACCATCCCATTCAGGAATCCAGCCAGCAATCTTGTTATCAGCACACACTGTAACCAACTGAGCCATCCAGCCGCCCACCAGCAGCTCAGCGCAAGTCGTTGTCTTCAATCTAGTTGCGGAGGGTGCAGCTCACTGGCCCATGTGGGAATCAAACCGGCAACCTTGTTCTTCAGAGCATGCGCTCTAACAAACTGAGGCACCCAGCCGCCCTCTTCAGTTCTAACATCAGCCGTTTTTCTAGGAAACGATTTAGAGTTTAGACACTGTTGTTCATCTTTTTTAAAAAGGGGGAGAAAACTGGAATTTCACTAGGCATTTCATGAATTAACTCTATTTATCAAGGAATTTCTCTCAGCAAACTTTAATGTCAGCTGCGACACCTTGGCTATGCCGTCGGTGAAAGTAAGGATGAGGAAGGAACCCAAAGCTGGGGTGGCTGGTCCTGAGCCATTGCCAACCTCCTTCTTCACTTCTGGGGGTGCTCTAGGGAGGAAACTCTGGGACTTTCACACCCCCAGAGTGAAGAGCAACTGTCAGTAGGGCCCTTAGCAGAATGTCTGACTTTGCAGCTATTTGGGGAGTAGGGCCAGTGAAGGCAAAGTCCTGTGAGAGGACGCCCTTCAGACCTGGGATAAAGGTGAAGCTCCTTGTATGGCACTCAAGATTCTTCAGTGTCATTCCCAAACTGTCTTTCCATATGCCTTGTCTACTTGGCTGATTCCTACTTCCCTTCAAGCTTCCTTGTCACCACTTCTAGGGAGTCCTTTCTCACTCTCTCCAGTTTCCCACCCCCCCCCACCACCCCCCACACACACACCCCAGTCTGAGTCAGGGCCTCATGTGAGATCCCAGTTCTGGGCACCCTAGGTCATCACTGCCTATTTGTGTGCCTACTGTCTCTATCAATGGGGAGACAGTGTCTGTTTGGTCCCCATATCCCAGCACCCAGCACTGGGTCTGTTGCAAGGAAGTACTCAATAAAGCTTTGCTGAATTGGAGAGGATACTTGTAGTGCGCAGGGTGGTGACATCAGTTCCAATTCACTCTGGGACCTTTCATGGGCTTGCTCTTCCTCTGCTGAGTCTTCTGCAGGGAAAAGTGCCTGTGAAGAGTAGTGTGAGGCAGGGGAAAAGGCCAAGATCTAATATCAGGTAGGTTTGGGTTCAAATCCATTTAGCTGTTCAACTGATCTAGCTGAGCCAGAGTAGTCTCATGAGTTAAAGGGGGATCCTAATCCCCACCACAGAGGCAGATAGGGTGTGATGAATAAATGAGATAATGTGAGAAAAGCAACATCCACAGGTCAGGTAAACACTTGCTTAGTAAATTATGAAAGTGTTAGAACTGTAGAACGTGCAGAAAACCCAGCTGCCTAGGGGAAAAAGGAACTCATTCTGCCCAAGGGACTGAAGCAGGGAAAGCTCTCCACTTGAGGGGACTTTTGAGTTGGGTTTTGAAGGATAAATAAAAGTTCCCCATAAATAGAGGAAATTGAGATGAAAAGGCGGAGAGTCACAAAAGGAGAGAACTTCCAGCCTCTACATGGAACTACAGCAAGAAGAATTTTGGTTATAAAAAAGGAAGGACTTCTCATGCCAGAGCTTTGGGCAGAATTCTAGTCCAGGATTTGACTGGAGGCGTAAAATGGCCTAAGAAGGTTCAAGGGCCCCTTTACCATAAATCAAAGGTCAACTGGTCCATCCCTCTATGGCTAAGCCACACAATTACTTTTGTCCCTAAACCTGCTTCCTTTGTGCTAGCAGTGAGTGAGTAGTACAAGGGGGAGGTTCCCCCCAATTCCTGGGTTTGCAGCCAACAGGCTGAGCCCCTGGCCAAGCATGCCCCTTCCCTCCCTCTCTAAGAGCCTGACCCCCACCCTGCCTGGGTCCTTCATTTGTCCCTGAAGCCTTGACCGAGGGCAGTAACACCAAATTATTAAATAAGCCCCCTTTCCTGGTCTGGGGAGGGACAGAAGGAGGCAAGGTCTTTCTAGGTCAGGAATCCTTGCCCTTGTCCTTCCTTCCCTAGCCCATGTTTTTCAAAACTAGACCTACGGGGGAGAGGGAGAGGGGAGAGAGTGAGAATGCTTCTGTCTGTGACTGAGTGTGTATGTCTGTATGGAGAGAGGGAGAGGGAGAGAGAACAGAGCCTGGGAGTGTGTGTGTGCGCGTGTGTTATGTGTGTGTGTTGGGGGGGGGGGAGAGAGAAAGGAAGGGAGAGAGAGGGAGAAAGAACAGAGCCTGGGAATGTGTGTGTGGCTGTGAGACTGCGTGACTATGTGCAAGAGACTCTGTGTGTGTGTGTGTGTGTGTGTGTGTGTGTGTGTGTGTGTGGCACTCCAGCAGCAAGCTGTTACCTTAAAGGCACAGACCCTGCCTCTGCCCTGCTCCCCTCCACCTCCACCCCAAGTCAGAACTACCTCCCACCACCATCAGCTGGGAACCAGAGCAGGCCTGTCCCCAGTGACTCCTGCCTGAGGGAAGAGAAGCAAGCCCAGCCCTCTCAGACACCCCCCCTAACCCCCCCATGGCTGAGGCTTTGAGAGCTCAGAAATAGGTCCTACCAGAGGAAGGAGAAAGAGGCTTTCTTTATTCCTGAGGAAAGCAGGGCCTCCCTGAGGACTGGGGGCTGGGGAAGGGAGGAGGCCCAGCTCTCTGGCAAAACTGGCTCTTTGGGGTCCCAGCCCTCCTTTACTAGGGGTGGGGTGGGTGAAGGGAAGCCACAACCCCCGCACCTCTTTTGCAGGGCGGGAACACCAGCACAGATCTGTGCAACAGTCACGGATGGAGACCATGAGGGTGTGGGTGGTGGTAGGACAACTAGGAGGGTCTCCGTCGCAGGCAGGAAGCCCCTACCTCAGGTCTGGCTCTCAGGCAGCTTTCCTGCCATCTTGGCAGCTGGAGCTTGCACAACAGAACGCAGGGGTGTTTGTTTTCTTCCCCACAGCAACCCACCCCTCCCCCCACGCTCACACCCGGTTTTGGCTCCAAGGCAGGAGGTGATGGGTGGAGCACTGGGAGGCTCTAGACCTGGTTTCTCATCCTGCCTCAGCCTTCTACTCGCTGTGTGACCCTGGATAGGTTCCCTCACTTTCTCTGGGCAGCCACTGCCTGCTCTGTATAATGGATACGTTGGGTTTAGAGATTCTACCAGCTCTTCTAGCTCTGACCTTACCCTGTTCTGGGTCCTATGATGGGTATCACTTGATGAGAAAATACTTCAATCTAGGAAGAGGATGAGACATTACCCTACCCAGAATGCCCCTGCCCTATCCCAGAGCCACAAAAAGTAGTGGAGCTGAAGTGTGCACAAAAATTTCCTGGCCCAACTCCTTCCTTTCACAGTTGAGGAAACTGAGGCAGTGATTTGCCCGTGATGCACAGGGAGTGACAGCACTCTGCCAGCCCCAGCCTCCGGAGCCCTAGTCCCCTGGTCCTGGCCTCCAGCTGCTAGGCAGAGCCTAGGTCGCCGAGAAGGCAGCGGGAGCAGGGAGGCCCGGAGGAGGAGGAGGAGGAGGAGGAGGAGGAGGAGGAG